GAGCTATTAGCATTGCAAAAAAAAAAGAGAAAGAGAAATGAAAAAAAGCCCTTGAACCCAGTAATTCAGCCAACAGCTTGCTGAGGACAGTGTGGGCTGGGATACCATTCCCTGCCATGGCCACATCCCCTCATCAGTCTGCTTGGAAAGACAAGGATGACAAGGGGGCTGCTCAGAGACAGTCCCTGCCCACCCACAGTCCTGAGCACCAGGACAAGCCCAGGGCCCCAGGGGCCGCTGCCACACTGGTGGGTTGGGGACAGACACCCAGGGCCGGCGGAGGTGGTAATTCCTTAGTTCTTGGCTTTGCCCCCACCTCTCCATGTTGCCCCTCCCTGCAGCTGTGCTGGAGGCCTGGGGACATCCACACGGTGGAAGGGGATGGGGGGCAGAAAACCCCAACCCTCCCTCCCCCGGCAGCTAGGCTGGGAGTGGTATGTGTTGGAAAGGGGTGGAGGGGGAGAAGTGGGGATGCCTCCTTCTCTGTATCCCACATGAAAATGTGTTTACTGGCTCCGCCATGGCAGCAGTGGCTGTGCTTTCTATTCCCTGACACTTCCTGCTCACGGTGTGGGAAGGGGATGCTGCACTACTGAGAAGCTGGCAATGCGGGGATGGGGGGCTGGCACCCCTCAGTCCCACGGGAGTGATGCACCTTCTCCGTGCACACCGGGACTGACATCATGCGCCTGCCTCAGGTGTTGTAACGAGCCTGGATGACCCTGCCTCCCCCAAAATAAAAGAAGCACCCTGGCTATCACAGGATGAAGCTGATCTGCTCACACAGCCTGTGCCACTCACGGCGAGCTGGGGAATGTGGTAGGAAACCCTCCATAAGAGCACAGCCCAAGTTGGCCATGTATATCGATCACATCCTAGCAGTCTCCTCCACCCCTGGATATTCCCTGGGTTATCCTGGATAATGGAGAAATGGGAACAGGGCTCAACTTCACAGCCTCTTTTCCCCACAACAAGAGGCCAGGTCCTTCTCTTTGGCTACACAGAGTCTTGCAGGGACTCCTGATACAGGAATAGCTGCTGTTTCAGGTGTCTTCAGTCCCTGTGATCACAGGGGCATCCTGGAAGGTTCTCGCCTG